CATGCCCGCTGATGTTGTTTTTTAGATTTTGCTTTCATTTAGTTTTCAGTGACTTTGTCTAGCAGATTAAAAAAAAAAGCAAAACAGCTGGCAACCTGATGTGAGTGCCACACATTTCTGTTGAAATATTAGCGTGGTCTGGCCGGGCACAATGGCGGAGATGTTGGTCTAAAATCTCAGAATCCAGGAACCTCCAATGCGGTGTCATTTGGGTTTTACAGTTGTGATATTTGGTAAATCTGGACTTCTTTTTATATTTTAAAATCATTTTTAGTTTATTATTTTGGGTTCTTCTAGTTAGTAGTGCCAGTTAGATGGATGTTTTTATTACTTATTTCGGCTTTCTCTGACTTCTTCATCCTTCGTCTATGCCTTGCGGTGTCCTTTGAAAGTGTATAGGAGAGAGAAGGGTGAAATGGGGGCACCCTCATTTTATATGTTTTTAAAGGGATTTTTCTCTAATGTCTTTTCTCTGACAGTATTTAGGTGGGCTTCAAAGGGAAAATAGATGGTATCTTATGGGAGGGCTCAACAGAAAGTTTGGAGGTAAGAAACCAGAAGCCAAATTTGGGACCACACAGGCCTGGATATAAATCTTGCCTCCTTCTGCTTCCTAGCTGACCAGTGGCTATGGCTGATGGTGGTGATGGTGGTGGTTATGGTGGTGGTGTAGTGGTGGTGGTGATGGTGGTGGTTATGATGGTGGTGTAGTGGTGGTGGTGATGGTGGTGGTGGTGGTGGTGATGATGATGTGGCTGTGGTGATGGTGGTTATGATGGTAGTGTAGCAGTGGTGGTGGTGGTATAGTGGTGGTAATGGCCAAGAGGTGAGAGAATGAGGGGGCAGGATTTTGAGGAGCCCAGCCATGCAGAAAGAGCCTAAAATAAAGCTGGAGTTGGCAGTCAAGTTGGATTTTTTTTAATTTCACTTTCCAGTTCTCTTTTAGTGGCTTCTTAATGGAAAGCCTTAGAAGCCGTAGAGTTTGGTCTGCACAACTGCACTGAGTGCCCACTCTAGGTCCTGTACTCTGAGGCACCGGGAATACGATGGTGAATGCATGCAGCGAGGGGGATCTGGAAATAATGAGTCATCATGCTAAGGAGGGTCTCATTACAATCTGAGCTAAGGACACTGGAAAAGAAACATGTTCTTTTGTTTTTTTTCCCCCAAGTATACAGCAGAAGCAGCCGCCCTGGATTTGGGCAAAGCAGGGAATACGTTACTGAAAAAGTGATGCGTGCACGTTTGAGCTGAGAAGTGAAGGGTGAGCATGTAGCAGCAGGGGCGTGGTGCGGTTCCAAGTTGAGCAGTAGCCAGAGGGTGGTACAGCCCCAAGCTGAGGAACAGTGTATTTGCCAGCCCTCTGGCGGAAAGAAGCTAAGCCTGTTAGGGAAACTCACAGGTCAGCAGAGCTGGAGGACAGAGATGAATCTGGAGGGGTAGGCAGGGGTCTCTGGGCCCAGCAGGTCAAACTGCAGTCTTTCTGTTGTCTTGAACAGCCATAAACAATGGGAAGCCTTTGTCCTGATGGCCATGAGGGACTGAAATCAAGTTGTCTATTTTAAAGACCTCTCTGGCCACAGAGTAGTGGGATGGAATTTGAGAGGAAGCTAGAGTTGATAGTAGCTGGGTCTAGGGAGGTGGCTGCTTTTAGAAATACATAAAGCTGAGGATAGTGAGAGTGGCTTTTAGAGTTATTTAGGAGAGTGACTTACAAGGCTTGGTGATAACATGGATGTGGGGAATTGGCTGTGTCAGGATGACACCCAGGTGGAACTAGATGGAAGCTAGTACTTTTCACCAAGCTAGAGAAGCAGGGAAAGAGGCCCAGGTGTGAGGTAGCAGGAGGTCATGAGTTCTGCCATGTTGAGTGGGGTGGTGGGGCCAGGAGTTACTCTATGTTGAGTGGGGTAGTAGGGCCAGGAGTTCCGCCACGTTGAGTGGGGTGTTGGGGCCAGGAGTTCAGCCACGTTGAGTGGGGTGTTGGGGCGAGGAGTTCCACCATGTTGAGTGGGGTGGTGGGGCCAGGAGTTCTGCCTTTGGTCTGTTGAGAGCAAGTTGCCTTTGGGCTGCACGTGACAAGGTATCAGACAGGTAGAAAGATGTTCTAGGTCTCGGGCACAGTGGAGAGGCTGTCATAGCAGAAAAAGTCTAGAGCGAAGTGGGAGACAAGAGAGGAACACTCCGGCCGGGCGCGGTGGCTCACGCCTGTAATCCCAGCACTTTGGGAGGCCGAGGCGGGCGGATCACAAGGTCAGGAGATCGAGACCATGGTGAAACCCCGTCTCTACTAAAAAATAGAAAAAAATTAGCCGGGCGCAGTGGCGGGCGCCTGTAGTCCCGGCTACTCGGGAGGCTGAGGCAGGAGAATGGCGTGAACCCGGGAGGCGGAGCTTGCAGTGAGCCGAGATTGCGCCACTGCACTCCAGCCTGGGTGACAAAGCGAGACTCCGTCTCAAAAAAAAAAAAAAAAAAGAGGAACACTCCAAATTGGGTTTCCAACCAAAGTCGTTATCAACAGGAGTCATCCTGGAGCTGGAAGGCACTGGAGAGATCGAGTCTCAGCCCTTTTATTTCACAAGTAAGGAAACTGAAGCTTAGAGAGGGAGGTGGGACCTGCTCGTTAGTGGTAAAGCCACTCTTAGACTGAATTTTTCTAGTCCTAATTCTGTCTCTCAATTGTTTACTACACCAAGCAGAGAATCTTCCTGTGGAGGTAGAACATGAGCCAAGGGCTCAGATGTCAGCCCCCTTGATATCAGATCTATTTTTTGTCAACAACCAAATGAACAGCTTCACATTCTTTTCTTGATCACTTTAGAACTGACATTCCTCCAGCTCCTTATTAAAGAAAGAGTAAAGCAAGAGCTGGCTAGAAGTAGTTTGGAAGGTAGAAATAGACTATACCACGTCTTTAGTGATCAGCCTGGCACAGTCACATGGCAGCCAGGAAGAGTTTGGCCAAGGCTAAAGCCAGTATGACTTGGTGGCACTCTCTTTTTCTGTTGGTCCAAAGGCACCAGTTATTACTTAAAACTGGCCCCTAAAATAGGAGCATTAAGGTACAAGAAAGGCAAGTTCATTTTTCTCAAGATCCTTTTTCAAGATGTCTACACTGTGAAACTGATAACACAGCAGCAGCTTCTCCCAGCCGTGACTTCTTAACTTTAATGTTTAACTGCACATGCAATTATATGAATTACATGTATTATCTAATCATTTTAAAATATTAGATAAAGCTAAGGCTAATGTTTGCTTTGATGACACTGTACCAGTCACAGTTTTCATACACCACCTCTCAAATCCCCCAGAGGTTACCAACTTCACAAATGATGGGTTTCCATACAGGATGTCATAGTTAAAAACACAAACGTAACTGTGTTTTCAAACACAGCTTTTCATGTGTTTCATTGGGCTTCACATTGCAGCCTTTTCATGTATCTGTATATCTTGGAGACCCTTTCCTATTGGTTCCTGTAGGATCTGCCTTGTTCTATTTCACCATCACCTCATTGTCTGGGCTGAATAAAGACAGTCAGCAGTCACATCCCTGTCGACGTGCATTCGGCTCTTGCCACTTTGTCCCTATTAGAAATTGCACGGCCGACCATGTCGTGGTACACACCTCCATGTAAATGTCACAAGTGTTTCTCTGGAGATGGTATCAAGCAGTGGAGTTGCTGCTCACAGGCCAACACAGAGCCTTGGCTACATGGCACTTCTCTACGAGGCCACCAGTGTGTCCCCACCAGCAGTGCCTGAGTATTTGTCTCCCATGCCCTGCTAGCACCACCCTCTTCTTTCTGGTAGAGGAAACAGTAAGACCTGTAGCACCCTCAGGCCCTCTATAAGTTAGGAGAGAGGTCTTGGAGCTGTTTTCCTGCTCTGCTTGTGGGACTGGGTTTCTGAGGCCCATGACCTTGGCTTCATCATTATTTTCTCTAGACTGTCAAGAAAAGAAGTTGAACTTCAGAGAAATATATCTCAGAAATTTGCCACAAGGAAAGGACTAGGGAAAACCTAACTAAAAGATGTTAGAAAAGAGAGGCCAAGTGTATCCGAAGTTATGTGTCCAGTTTTGTTTAGTCTTTCAGGAAGGTGACTGAGCTGTTTTAGAAATAACATACTCCAGCCAGGTGCGGTGGCTCATGCCTGTAATCCCAGCACTTTGGGAGGCCGAGGTGGGCAGATCACTTGAGGTCAGGAGTTCAAGACCAGCCTGGCAACATGATGAAACCCCATCTGTACTACAAATACAAAAAAAAAAAAAAAGCCAGGCATGGTGGCGCGCGCCTGTAATCCCAGCTACTCAGGAGGCTGAGGCAGGAGAATTGCTTGAATCCAGGAGCTAGGATCATGCCACTACACTCCAGCCTGGGCGGCAGAGTGAGACTCTGTCTAAAAAAAGAAAGAAGTAACAGTTCAAACTGCCATTGGAGAACTCTTAATGGTGCCCCGATTATAAACTATGCATCTCTCCCTGATTATAAACCATGCATCTCCCTGATTGATTATAAACCATGCATCTCTCCCTCACCATCTGATCATTTTAAACCCAGATCCCTTCTGCTGATCCAGGATCTAAACAGTTTAGGCCGGGAATGGCCACAATTTAAAGAATGCTCTCCAGCCTTTGAAATTCAGGTCCCTGTTCCCCTACTCCCAAACCCTCCCCCTGCCCACTCATTGTAGGCATAGACGAGTTAGTCATGGTGTATAACTAGGGTTACCATAAAATTTGTCATCCAGCTGGGACATTTTTAAGCATGAAAGGCAGCGCTAACCAAGGGGATGCTGGGATGACAGGGGCAGAGCAGGCTGACTGGGCCCCCCAGCACTCCCGTCATGCCAGCATCAATGCTGTTGATAGTAGTATGACAACATTGCAAAAAAATGTACATGCTCATTCACATAACTATAAAAATAATTAGTATTAATGTTATTATTATTAGCACTTTTAAAAGAGAAGTAACTTCCCTTCTCCCACTATTTTTCAATAGACTTCAGTGTACTGAAAGTTCTCCCATTGAGAGCACTTATGCAGCTGGGTGAACTATCTACATGAAAGTGACATTTGCTCATCTGTCTTTCTTGCTGAAGTTACCGTCTAAAGGTAAGCAAAGGAACAAGCTCAGGAGAAAGAAAATGGAGCACTCTCAGAGACCTTTCCTGGGGCTCCGGATTGGGAGGAACGAGGCCTGTGGCCACCAGTTGTCGTGGCTTTATGCAGCAGCAGCAGTGGCAGGGACTCTGGGCTTCCACACTCCCCTCTCGCCCATGCCGGGAGCAATGCAGGCTCTTCTAGCAGGGCTAGGATGCCCCACAGCTCTGGGCCTTGAACAGGGTAGGGGTCCATTCAGACTGGGGGTTGCTGGCCTAGGGTTATGAGTGGCTTTTGTTGGCAGAGACTACAGTTAAACCCATCTAAGTGCCAAAGTGCCTTAGAAATTAGAACAAAAAGTACAGTCCCTTAGGAATATCGAGGTCATTTTTGCTCAGACCTCAATTATTTTCACACCACCTTCAGTTTTTGCCATATTCCTATACTGAAACTGCACTTCACCGTTCTCTCTAAGTCAGCTATTTCTTTATGTAAATACATTTGTTTTTAAAGGAAAGTTATGCAACTGCTATTGAAAGATTACCAGTATCACTGGCTTCTGGTTAAGTATTTTAAAAACACTCATGAAGACAAGTGCATGCTCTGAAAATGGCAACATGGCCGATGCCCCTCCAGGCACAGCCCTGAGCACCTCCTTGATCCTGTCCCCCATCCACCCAGTCTCTTCATTGACCTGAGAAACACTCGTCTGGGCTCTAGGAGAGATGGCGAGAGATGGTCTTGTATGACACAAAGATTTCCCACTAAAGGGGACAAATGATTTTTTGCTCCCCGTATCTGGTCAGGTGCCTCTTAGCTGAGAAGTGGTAGGAAGAGTTCTTATTCCTTCCAGCGGAAGCCGGTTGAGTTTCAACAGGGCTCAATTACTTGGGGCACATTTTCTTCCCATGACATTTGTCGTCTAATAATAAGTCAACAGATGGAGTTGTCTTGATCTGCCTTTACCATGACATTTGCTGCCACTTCACATGTTTATGTTTGCAGATGCAGCCAAGAAACAGTCGGTCGAACTGTCCCAAACCCCAGCGAGATGAGCCCGGGCGCTTCTCACTTCCTGCTGGCATGCTCTGAAGCAGTGTTCCAGCCAGAAGGCCTCTCACAGAACCCATCCACTCACCTCTGTTCTCACTCCCGGCTTTTCTGGGGATTGGGTGTGGGGAGCTGGGTCTGTTCTCCCATTGTGCTCTCTGTTCTTGATGGGATGCCAGAAAGTACAATGCTCTCTTCATCAAGTTCAAAAACAGGCAAAACCAAGTAATGCATACGTGATAGAATGTTTACAGCGAGCATACGATAAACTCAGCTTCTGCATTTGGTTTCCTCTGGCAGGGGCGACCACAAGGAGTGGGAGAAGGACATTCTGCTAGATGAAGTTCCTGGCTGTGTTCTTTCTTGGATTCGGCTGCATAGGGTCACAGGGGTTGAATGACAATAGTTTTAAATACTAACTTTTAAAAGTATATGTTCGGACTGCCTCCATGGGCCAGTGGCATGGACAGCTGAAACCAACCCAGAGCATTTGGGGAATGGTGGGCCTGCTGTGCTATGGTAAAAGGAGATTGTTTTGAGGCTGAGCTGTTGCTGACCAGCGTGGTGGGACTTTGCTCACCTGTCTTCTTTCTATACAAATTAAGAACCCTCAGAAGAGTTCTTAGCACATATTAGGCCCTCAGTAAATATGTGTTGAACAATTTTTCACTTGTGTATTTTTAACCTTGTTGTTACGGAAATTTTCAAGCACACCAAAGCAGAGAGGAGGCCAGCGCAGCTGCGCTGCCCGTCAGCTTCTGCTGCTCTGGTTTCCTCTGTCACCACACCTTTTCTTCTGGAGCCCTTCACAGCAAATCCCAGAAATCATAGTGTTTCACCCCTGGCAGTTTTGGACAGTAGAGTGGGTTCTTCTGTTCTGGATTTGTGGCTCTGATCCACCTAACAGTTTGTTCTTCCTGGGTTCTTTTAGGATATGTTGAAGCTGACCTCTTCTTCCCCAAAGACAGTGTGTCAGGAAAATGAAGCCTTTCTCTGTATCTCCCTGCGGGGGATTTCCTCACTGCATAGGTGTGTACTTGGCTGCACATTTGTCCTGGGCATTTTGCTGGACCCATATATCAATGACGAGAGAAGAAGCCGTGGCCTAGGGCCTCCATGCAAATGCAGGCTGATGGCATGGTTAGGGGAGCGGAGCCTAGTTCCTGTGAGCGCTAGGAGTGTTCTAAAGTGACCACCCATCTTTTGAACCCCCTTTCATGACTCCCAAGTTGATCATTGGTGCTTTCCCCCATTGCCAAGTCAGAGTGGACATTTTCCGCAGACAGTACCCCAGTGGACTGCAGCTCTGCCCCTTCTGACAGAAGGCACATTGGGAACATGCAGAGCCCACATCCAGGGTGACGGCAGTTGTCACCATCCATGTGGAAAGACCTGGCCCCAGCCAGCTGCTGGGCCTCTTTGCACTGTATTAATAGCAAGGCCATGGGGCCCACTGGGGTCGGGAGACAGAGAGGGAAGGAGGACAGCTGTGGCAGACATCACCCCATGCTCCAGACATGTGCACCCGTCACAGGCATACAGATGGCCACACCTTGACCTGCCGCTCCAAAGCCCCCCTAGCCCCTGCCAGCCTTCTCCTTGTAGGGGCAGGAATTGGCTCGCACTGACGACCCATTTGACAGAGGAGCCAAATTAAGAATGGCATGATTGGAATAGAGGGTTCCAGTGGCCCCATGTTCAGGGTCAGTTTACGCTTTTATTAGACACACACGGGCATGGGGGCCGAAAATGAGGCAGTGGTATTTAAACAGCTGGGGGTATTGGGTTCTATATGCCAAGGCTGGACAGATATTTTTAAATGTCACAGGCCAAATGGAAGCTCAGTTGGCGGCAGGATGGAGGGGCAGGGGGATTTGGAGGCCACTGCATTGCCGTGGCTAGATATGGCCAGGAGAGCTGAGTAGGATTAGGGCCTGGGAAGAAGCCAGCCTGGGAAGAGCCCGTGAAGAGGGAGCAGGAAGGATCATATGAGAAAGCGGTAGGCGCCGGGGTGGCAGGCAGGCAAGAGTGCAGGTGCTGGAGCCAGGGGCAGACAGAACTGTGTGAAAGCACCAAGGACAGGGCCAGAGGAGCCAGGTCAGAGCCCAGCCCTAGCTCAGGGGAATGTGCAGAGAACAGAGCTGGTGTGCCAGGGCCCTGTTCTGGTATCAGAGAGATGTGAGCGCTAACCTTAGCACCCCACTTTCCACCCTGGGGCCTTGGGACTACTTATTTATCTGCCAAGGCAGTTTCCTGACTTCAGGGAAGGGGCCAGGGGAGGATTAAGAACAAGCAGCACCTGACACTCAGAAAAGTGTCCCTAAATGATCGCCACCATTATTAATAGTACAAATTAATGGGTGGCCAGCCTCCATTGTGTGATGGAGCCGGAAGCTGCTCTCCAGGCCTGCTCTCACCCAGAGACACAGTGCGTTTCAGCCACACAGGAGTTCTTTTAAGGATAAATGATGATGACCACCAACGGTTAGGTGTCAGCAGATTTTACAGAAGCCTTTGGCCATTTGACTTCTCCTGGCCTCTAGTTTTCTGGGGCCTGCCTCTTCCTGTCCATGGACAACCGTAGCTGGGGGGCGACCGCCCCCTGTCGGCCAGCAGCACACACACCCCCGTGCCTGCCACCACCTGTGCCTGTCACTCATCTCTGAGTGGGGCCTGGCCTCCGTAGGCATTTGCACTTGCTCTCCCTGCAGTAAAGTGGAGCTATTATTATCTTATAAGAAACAAGGGTCATCATCAGAATTGGGCAGGGACCCAGCAACTGAGTTCTGGCCGGGGCCTCCTTGCCTTTGCTGTGACATTGGTCTGGGCGACCTGGGCTGATGGATGAGCACTGAGTGGCCAGGCCTGGGGAGCCATCATGGCTGCCTGCTTTCCTCTTGGTGGGCCCCGTAATGAGCTGAGCAGAAACACAACATGGCTAGGGCAGTTACCGTGGCCACCTAACATCTGTGTGTCCCTCGGCCTCCCTCATTCTTGTCAGCATAGGGATGACTTAGGAAAGCTGGAGGAGGCTCAGGCTGCTCTGAAACCTGGGTCTTGCTTTTCAGCACAAGGGATTCAAGAGAGGAGGAGGTGAGGGAGGAGGGGAATTTCTATTGGGGCTCTTGTGGGCCTCATGTGGCCCCTGAGTTAATCCCTATTCGTATTCAGAATTCCCTCCTTTTCCTTGGTGGGTCAGAGTTCTCTCTTGCTCATCCAGGCCTCAGAGAAGAATCCATGGCAGTTGTGACCACAGCTAGGCCTTAACTCCTTCAGGGCCATGTACATGAAGGCTCAGAAGATCCCCTCATCTTCTGAAGAAGTGAGAGTCTCCTATGGGCTTCCAAGGGACACTGCAGTTAGCTGTGCTCCAACAGCCTGCCCCATACTCAGGCTTCTTGGCACAGAGAAGCCCTTCCTGATTTATGGTGCCTACCACGTTCTAGGCATTAGAGAAATGCATTAATTTACTCTTCCTTGCAAGCTTGTGGGGAAACTGAGGCATACATAGGCCAAATAGCTTGCCCAAAGCCACACAGCAGGAAAGTCGTGGAGTCTGGATTTGAACTCCAGTGGTTAGTCAGGCTCCAGAGGTTGCCTTTCAAACCACTGTCCTCAAATGCTGCCTGGAAAATGACGGAGCTGATGGAGGGGTCCGAGGTGATGCTCTGGTGAGTCGGGAGCCTGCCAAGTCACAGGAGCTGGGGAAAGAGCCCACTGGACAGAGGGGACAGCCAGTGGAAAGCCCCTGAGGTGGGAAAGAGCTAGCCATGAACTACAGGGAAGCAGGAAACCAGTCTGGCTGCAGGAAGTGAGCAGGGGCAGGGGAAGGAGCTGGGGTAGCTGATGAGGCAGCACCATAAGGGCAGCCTGTGGCCTTGGCACTGGGGTCTGATCCCAAGTGCAGTGGGAGGCCCTGAGGCTTCTGACCAGGGCCCTGCTGGCCTGAAGGTCTCCCCCACTAGGAGATGGGATTCTCATGGCAAGAGGAGAGCCGGGAGAGCAGGAGCTGAGCTGCCCCACATTGGGTAGCTGGGGTCTGTTCACTGAAGGGGATCTGATATGGTTTGGTTCTGTGTCCCCACCCAAATTTCATCTTGAATTGTAACTCCCACAATTCCCACGTGTTGTAGGAGGAACCTGGTGGGAGGTGATTGAAGTATGGGGGTGGGTCTTTCCTATGCTGTTCTCGTGATAGCGAGTCTCATGAGATCTGATGGTTTTAAAAAACGGGAGTTTGCCTGCACAAGCTCGCTCTCTCTTTTGCCTGCTGCCATCCATGTAAGATGTGACTTGCTCCTCCTTGCCTTCTGCCGTGATTGTGGGGCTTCCCCAGCCACATGGAACTGTAAGTCCAATTAAACCTCTTTCTTTTGTAAATTGCCCAGTCTCAGGTATGTCTTTATCAGCAGTGTGAAAACGGATTAATACAGGGTCTATCTGGGAGAGGCTGCTTTTCTCTGAGGCCTCTTGCTTGGCAGTGTAGAGGAGGTTCACTAGTGCTTCTGGAATGTTCCTTGGCCCTTTGGGACTCAGCCTATAGTCAGAGCTGGTTCCTTAGGCTTTAGGTGGGGCACCCTTGGAGAACTCCCTGGGGTAGGTGTCCAGGTGTCATGTACGGCTCTGGTGCCTCCCTCCCTTCGTCCACCTAGTGCTTCTGGAGGGCTTGGCTCAGCGTCATCTTGGCAGCTGGGCCAGGAGGCAGGGCTTTGTGGGTTTTCCCATTTATATTTCTTTATAGGTGAGAAATGAGCCTCACCTGTGTGGCTCAGTGGTGAGCGCCTAAGGTCACATCCCCAGTTCCATGACGAAAAAAAACACCAGGTCAGGTGCATGGGTGGCTGGCACTCACCGTGGCAACACCGTGAAGACATCTCTTTGCCATTCCTGGTGCCCCCCTTGGAGCAGGCATCTGAACGCTGGTGATTGAGAACCTGGGGGCTCTGATGGGGCACAGATACCGAAGCGCTCGCCACTAGATGACACAGCTGCAGTGACAGGTATGGACAAGCCTTCAGCACCCCTTTTCCAGGAGGGTCACCTGGGGTGGGGGTGCGAGGACCCCTTTGCCCTGGGCACCTGTTGGACCTGAGTCTGGGTCCCAGCTGTTCTACCTCACACTGAGGTTGTGGTCACCTGTGTGGGTCCCGGTTTTTTGTTCTTGACAAGGGTTGGGACCAGAGGTAGATGGGTTCACCTGTTCTATTGTTTCATGATGGAAACAATCCTGGTTGGTTGCCTGGTTTCTGCTTGGGTTCCCATTCCTTGCCCTGGCCCTACAGGATTAGTGGAGCACCATAGCCCTGCCTCCTTTCTCTGGCCAGCCAGAGGGCTTCAGAAAAGGCTTATCTAAGCACTCTGTTCTTGAGGGCCCTGAAGAAGTTGACTCTGGCAGATGTCTTGTCTCAGATCACAAAGGCCTTGGAGATTGGGACTCCACACCCATTTCATTGAAACCTGCTCTTCCCCATCAGAAAAACGGCCATGTTTTCAAAACCATAACTGCTTCTCTCTTAAATCAACAATAAACAACAGCCTAAAGATTGCCCATAAAAGTAAGTTCCACTGATGGCTGTTCTGGCTGTTGGAAGCAAGATATCAAGTTGCAGTGTGGCCATGGGAGATCACGCCACAGGTGAGTGTGTGTGCACCTGGTTTCATTTC